CGTTTTTGTTAAATTGGCAGAAACAATTATCCCCATCGTTTTTGTCTTTACCCTTTTCTTTAAGGAGAAAAATTCCCTTTCTTAAATTTCCATCTTTCCATCTATCCACAAATCGGCATAATTTAAATTCAAAAGAATTAGAAAATGACCCGTTGCGTGGGAAAGGAAGAGTGACATCGTGCGGCGTCGTCCGTTTTCCGCAACGCGGTCAGGTTCCGCTGAAGTCGAACGTCGTAGAAGACGTACGAGAGTTGAGAAATTTGCGAATTCGCAAATATAATCAATGATGTATCTTCGTGTTACGGGGCGTGTTTCCAACTTCGCCCCAGATATCCACAAAGCCCCCGCGGCACCGAGGTTTCGCCATTACTATTTGGAGCAACGAGACACGCGCAAATTACTAGGAGAATAATTACAAGTTCGTTCCATTGAATCCGGAATGCGTTAAACAACGCGGAAACAGCCGCATTGCGATTCGATGATTAATTCAATCTCTGGCTAATGCATACTGATCCAGCCTGTGCGCGAATTGAATTGTTTTAAATGCTCCCCCTCTCCTCTCCGATGATAAACGCGCCTCCACCCGTGGCCCGACCCGAGGAGATTTTGCAAATTTACGGAAATGGTCGCCGGAGATTCTCCGGCGGGCGGGGTGGATACGAAAATGGTGGGCCGTGGGTTGGATAACTCGCAAGAGATAGGGATTGAAATTTAACTTCCTGCGAAGATGTAACATTAAGATTGGAACGGATTTAATCCTCCTTTTTTTTTTTTTCTTTTAAAGATTCAATCTTTAACGTTTTCTGCCCCGGGCGGGTAAACCCCTTCCTTCGCTTCGCATCAAAAATGTAGCGGTATCGCGCGAATTTCGCATGTACGCGCGAATAGAATTTTAGTTCGTTAACAATTACGCAATTATTAGACCACTATCCGTTGTGGTATCCGTTTCTTTTCTTTTTCTTTTTTCTTTTCTTTTTTTTTTTAGCGTCGTATATCGTATATCGTTAAAGTCAGTCTCGTTCGAGATTTTAAGCAGTAAAAGCTTTGTTTCGTTTCGGCAAAAAACGAAGCGAGCTTTGGTCGATTTCAAGGTGTTTTTAAACGATTCTTGTTCTCTTGCTTCTTCTTTAAGTAGACGTCGTGCTGTATGATATATTATAAATCGTTAAAGCCAGTCTCGTTCGAGATATTAAGCCTTGTTTTGGGAAAAAACGAAGCAAGATTTGAGATTAAGAGATTTCAAGAAGTTTTTAAACGATTCTTGTCCTCCTGCCTTCCGTTTGTTAAACACGCAGTTATCGAGACGAGTGATAATTTGTATCCATGACGATACGTAACGTTCGTACGCCTCGTTCGGCACAGCTGACGATGTATATAGTGGTCGTGTGCTATCTCACCCCGTGGGTATCGCACGGAGTATCCGGAGTGAAAAACATCACCTACGGGGTAGCGAGACACCTCAGATCTATTGGATTTCCCGAGGGCAGCGGCACAGGGGTGAAGTATAGAAATAAATCGTTTATCTTTCGATCGACTAATGCTGTTATTGATTAAACCCGGCCACTATCCCATTCGATCTTTTTTTTTTCGGAGAAACGCATAAGATATTGAATAAGTCGAAGAGAGAAGTCGCGGAATAAATGATTCTTACGTTTATGCAGATATTCTTCGCCCTTGGAGTTCCCGTTGACATTCCCGACAAATCGGTGCTATTTTCTCTGTATTTCGAAGCGAATTACGTGCTCCCAGGGGAATGGAGCTCCAATTATTACTGGGACGAGTCGAATCTCAAAAAACGAAGTCTGGATCGACGGCTGGCTTATGATATTCTTATTAGCAAATTGGAAAGGTAAAAATATCGTATCATAACAAATGAAATTAGATTGAAATTGAATTAGATTAAATTAAGAAAAAAAAAAAAAACCTACGATATTTTCGTTCACAGTTTCGGTTATTCCGGGGAAAATTGTCTGCAAAAAATGATCTGCGAAGTTGCCAACTTTCCTCTAACTAATAACGGTGTGCTCGGCGATGTCCTGCAAATTTTATTTACGTGAGTGCTAAAACATATTTTATATGAAGTGGGGTTTAAAAAAAAAATTTTTTTTAAATTTTCCACTAAATTAATTTTGGAAGGCAAGTTTCGTGATAACTTATTTCTTTTTCTTCGTCAATATATTTGATGATAGAATTAAAAATTAATTTATAACGCGATATAATTTTTATCACAGGCCATCCTCTTCGCAAGATGAAAATCTTCCGAGCGGGATCACCGAGGCTGAGTACGCGAAAGATTGCAATAACCGCTATAAAAAATGCCCTCAAAGTCCATTAGCCTTGATAAGGTATCATGATCTCAACGATAATAGCTAAAAAAGCCACGGTTATTAAACGCAATCTTCATAATTCGGTACAGTTCGTGGCCTGTCGTCCGATAATGAGTCTCGTAAAAAAAACAAGATGCTTACATCTCTAAGATAAATAATAATTTATCAACATCGAACGATACATACCATTTTTTTTTTTGTACAATAATATTGTAATATTTATTAAATCGAAAATACATGCGTCTCTTTCCTCTCATTACGTATTCGCATGATTCGTTTTTCATTTCAAGGAACATTTCTTTAATAATTTTGTTAATAAAAGTTTCAACCGAATATTCGCGAATATTACGAAGGCTGTTCATTAAAAAAAAAAAGAACAATTTATAGTAATACTTTCTTATATGTATAAAAAATGAAGTGTTTAAATTATAATTGTAACTAACAACGATGAGAGATTGAAAATGATCGAAGTAAAAATACTTAAGAACTATGGAAGAAGAATATTATCGAAACCGCTTTTTTTTTGAAAAAAAAAAAAAATATATATAAAGATATACGCGAAGCACATTGTCATGTAAAGAAAAAAATAAAATTTCGAATATTATATACAAAGATATATGTGTATGTGTGCGTACACAGCTTGTTTAAAGTAATTTCATCATGATGATATAAAATTAAACGACGTTCAACGTCTCGCAAAATTAATGATAAAAAAAAAAAAA